ATTCCGTGCAAGCTCCGGAAATTTGAAAAGTGAGCGGAGCTTGGCATTGAGGGGTGGTGCTTGCTTGGAGGGGGAGGGAGGCAAGATTAAGTCGATTGAGGTTTTGCAGTCATCTGTGACGTTTATACGCTTTGACCACAATGAAATTTCTTTGAGGAATTCGTGAGGGGAGTTTGCCAAAATAGGAAGTGTAAACATGCTGTCCTTTGGGCCTGTAATGTTCATATAGACAAAAAGAAGATTTAACACATTAGAAATATAATTCGGAGTGCCGCGCGCCATTATATCGTTAAGAGTTAAGTTCATCACTATGTTGGTGTTAAGCTCACTGATGCCACTCTTCCATACTCTGCATTCTCATGAAATTTTCCTTCCATTGTTTTCCTTCCATTAGAAGATTGGTACGAGTCTCTAAAAGCTGGTATGCTATCGAAAGTACAAAAATGAATACTTCAAATAATTGTCTCTTTAGTACCTTTATGGTTAAGGTAAACAGCAAATCTACGGTCTACGATTCTACCTCGGGGAACACTGGAGCCAGTGAAGCATACATGTGCACATTGGTTGGATTACCGTTCATTGCAGTAGTAAGTGCCTTTATTTTTGATTTTGTTGTCACCTGTACTGATGAAAAACCCTTTAGGTAGCCAATGAACTTGAACAGACAAAAATAGACCAAATCACAAGTCATGGCGGTAAAATCATGAAGGTTCTAAACTTGGTTCTCTCGCGCTTTGATGATGTAGTTTATGGTATAGGTTGAAGTATCTCTGCGAAACTTCCACGCTAAAGATCAAGCTGATAAAAATAACGGTTTCTTCCTCAATCAGTTTGGAAACGCTGAATATGCTGAGGAATTCCACGAGAGTGAGTCAACTACCCAACGTTTTGGCGAAAGCATCACAGCGCTAATGAGTAAAAATTATTTATACTTATCGGAACTTCCAGGTGGAAATTATAGCCACGAAAGCTCCAACGTTTTCCACGAGATTCTCGTCCAACTGCAAGAGGATGAGAAGCAGGAGAAGAAAATCCCCGATTTGTTTGTACACAGTGCAGGGACGGGTGAGAATTTGAACTTTATTCTGTTTTATAGCATGGCGTAAAGCTAGTTACAGGTGGAACAATCTCGTCTGTGGGACGATATGTGAAAAGATACAATCTCCCTACAAGAATCGTTCTCTCCGATTCCGAGTACTCGCTCTTCCACGATTACGTGATTCACAA